GTTAATGGGTCGTCAAAATTTATTGATTAAATTATATGAGTTGATACAAGTTTTGATTGGATTGGATATGTATTTGAATGATTTTTTGAAAATGACGATGCATACTAATTCAGCTGGGACTATGTTACTTATTGTAACTGCATACATTCAGGTAAATATTATTAATTAGATTATATTAATTCTTTAGATTATTTGTAAGTTATGTTATTTTGAATTTTTTTAATGTTTAAATTTTAGTTGCAATGTTTTTGGACGTCGAATCTTTGTGAAGGATTCACGCAGGCTGGGAGGAAGACATTAAGTGAAGTGAATAATTTAATGTTGATATGTGATGATAGAGATTATGAGTTGATAGATAAATTGCGGTTATTATCGAAACAAGTAAGGGATAGGTGTCCGCAGTTTACAGCGATGGGTTTCTTTTTGATTAATCACGCATTTATTTATACTTTGTTTAATATGGTTGTTTCGTATGTTATTGTGATGATACAAATGCATCAGAAGGCAAAAAAATTAGTTTAGTTTAAGTAAATTTAAATTTTTAAATAATTTATAATTTATATATGAATATAAAATAAAATTAAAATTAAAATAAATCTTTGTATGTTTTATTTTTTGTGATAAAACTATTGATATTGTCGGTGAGGTGAGGTGAATAGTGATAAAAACTAAAAATAAACATTTACATGAGCTCATGCGTTGTGTAAATCCACATAAATAAAGATAACTCATTAACGTGACTACAGAGGGCGCTAGTATGTCTACATTGGCATTAAATGCGTAGCCACGTTCTCGTCACAGTAGATTGTGTCGTTCAGCGAGTTGTTTGTTAGTAGTAGTGAGTGTGCATCGAGTTAAATAGAGATAATCGTGCTGTGCAGCGACCTCAAGCTGTTTTTAATGTTTATAAACACACGTAGTGTGTTCAAATTAAATGTATTGCATTCTTAACTATTGTCTATCATCAAAATCATCAAAGAATTATCGATCATTATGAATTTTCTTCAACATTACTTTGTTTTGATACATTTTTTTAATTCAATAATAACTAAAGTTTAAAAAACTGAAAAAACTTAGCAATATAATATCGAATAATATCACTACAACTACGATTTATAGTTGCTATGTTTATAGTAAATCTCATCTCTTACTTCTCACCCTTTGAGTTATATTTTTGCGATAAAATGTAGTTTATATACTTTTCCTAAGCTATAAATATGTCTATATCAAATTTTATTGCAATTGGTTGGATAATTTCTGCGTGAACGAGGAACAAACATACATTTATCCATCAAAACGTGCACATGTATAATATTAATAAAATAATAATTGATTTTCAATATTTATTTATATATTTTCCTGTTTTTATATAGTTTAAGTTATGATTAATATATGTGCACTAAATAATGTGAAATACAATGACCCATATTATATTCACAAAGTAAATTAGTTCATATAATGTATTATTAATATTTTTTACAGTTCAATAATACAATTAATATATTATAACAGAATATTACCTGAAATACAATTACAAAACGAACAAAGAAAAACTAAAATATTTCATTTTAACAAAAGCAGTTTACCCGGCAGCTACGAGAATGTTGCTTGACAATATAATCCTTCAAACTTCCATGCAACTAATGCTCAACACCATCTTAAACAAACATTTCCAAAACGCAAGATGTATTATCCAAATGCTACCATTTCCATCATCTCCTTTCGTGCATTTATCTTTATCCTCTGCTAATATTACAGTTCCACAAATAATAAATCCTTCAGATTGTGTTACTGATTGTGATCATTACATAGACGACGATCCACTACTCACCATAAGTTATGATTTACTCAGGTGTTTTCGTAGAAACCGAGAGTACACCTTCAAAGGTATTATATTTCTTACAAATGGAGAAATCGAAGATTACAAAACCGAAAATTTTGGATTGTATAATTATAAAGTACCAGTATATGCCGGAAATGCCATTTTTATAAAAAGAGTTGGTGATGAATTTGTTATTAGTGCTTTTACCAATTGGTTAATGAAAGATCACGTGATGTTAAATCGATGGAATATTTTTAAGCTGAAGTTTATGATGAAAGATGAAAATATAGATGATTTTTATTCTCTTGAGAGGAAAAAACGGAGTGGAGGTGTGTTAAACATAGGACTCAATACAGGTGTAGTAATTCCAGTTGCGATTAAAGGTATTAAAATCTGTTTGGTTGATATTTTTCGTTTTTTATTGCATAAATTTAATGAATTTTAGCGGAATTGAAAGGAATTGACTTGAGTATAATGGTGGAGTTTATAAAATCATTGAATATGACTCACAATATTATTATTTTCTATTATTCGCGTGAACCAAAATTTAATTTAGGTAATTTTTAACTATTCAATTACAGTGAAGCTTCCTTTTAACGATAAACTTACTTATGTTTATTTTAGGATTATTTACTTATAGGGAAGGCGACGTTAACAGTTATCCGATGTATACAATCTATTTAAGTTTTTGGTGCCTAAACCAACAATATTCATAGATTGGTTAAAATTGGTACAAGTCTTCAAACCGGATCTATGGATTTTTATTATTTTGTGTTATCTGACAATCGCAATATTTTTCTGGGTTGAAAACAGAATTTATAGAAATGCAAATTGTCCAGGATTTACTGCAGTCACTGGATTGTTTTTCCTACAAGGATTAGACGATAAAGATATACCTAAATACTCTAGAGCCAGATCATTAATTGCTACGTTATTAATAGTTGCTGTTTTATATTCCGCAGTTTTCTCGTCAGGTGTCGTTGATAAAATGATGACGACGAGTTATCAAGGTGATATTAGGACAATGGAGGATGTTGCTAATTCAAAACTGTATATTGAATGGGTGAATGATCCGCTTGCAATGTTTGATCGCAGCACATTAACAGTAAGTTATAAAGAGACGTGAAATACCGGTATTAATATCGATATACCGCAAATATTTTTTCAAATATTGATTTTTTAAAATTTTATTTTATTTTTAATCAAATTTACCGGTATTAAACACGAAATTATATCTAATACTAGCTTTAACCCACGGCTTCGCTCGCGAATATCTAAAATAATGAAGTTGCTTCTGTACGCGTCTGTAGTCACAGAAGAAGTAACAATGAAGTAGAATGGCGGGAAGTTTAAAATTGCTGAAAGTATAGTCTATGGAAGTATAGTGTACAGTCTCCATAGTGTAGTCAATTGGATTTGATGTTGACGTAGCTGTCGGTAATACAGTGTGATAATACAGTGTGATGGTACTATAGTACTTAGGTTTGAGCTTCATTGCTGGAATGCTAGATGGCGTTAAAGTAGTCAAATAGCCAGATGCAGAGGTATTATTGGCTAAACAATTTCTTTATTTTATTTTAAAAATAATTTTTTTATTAAATAAAAAGTAGCCTATAACCATTCGGGGACCACTAAGAATATGTGTACAAATTTTCATGATGATCGGTTAAGTCGTTTTTGCGTGAAAGTGTAACAAACATCAGGACTTTCGCATTTATAATATTTGTAGGGATTTACAATAATAATTTATTGATTGTTAATTATTTAGGAAGCTGAAATACGAGCATTTTCTCGTCGAATAAATGTTGATTCTGGTAAACCGTACACAGAAAAAGCTACAGCGCATTACATAACCGAAACAAAACGTACGTACAACATAACCTCAAATAACTTCAAATTAAATTATTTTAAATTAAAAATTACTTTAAAATTATTTTTAACAGTTTCAACATCATTATCTCCGTATCACGAAAGCGGACCGCATTTACAACATGTTAAAACCATAAACTACATCAGTTCCATGCTATATTGCAAAGTTGAATTGTGGAAAAGTGATTACACGCTTCTAATCCCGCGTTTGAACGATTTCATACAAAGATGTCGCGCCGCTGGTTTAATAACCAAATGGGAATGGGATGTGTACAGGGCGGTAAACAATATGTCCACATTATTAGCTTATTTAGACGAGAGTATTCCTTCTGCAGGACCTGTAAAATTAGTATTTGAACACGTACAAGGTGTTTTCGCTATCTGGATTACCGGTATTATAATTTCTATGATTATATTTATCAGTGAAATATTCTGGGTGGAAATATTCGATAGAGTTTGGATTATTTAAAGAAAATAGTATATTAAGTATTAAGTGGCTCAACGAGTGTTTAACAACGTTTAGTCACGTGATGCTTACGAGAAGCATCAGCGCTGGTTTTAACTTCTTTGACTGACGGCGCTTGGCATTTCCTATGATCTTGTGCTGCACCGTTGGCAAATGCGCAGGCGCTAATTCTATCCTGTGAATAAAGCCCGTAAATAAAGTACTTTAGTCACGGCTTTGGCTATCTGTGTTTGAAGTACCATTTTTTGTAGCATTGAAAAACTGGCACTTTAAAACTGACAGATGAAAATTTAAGTTTTAAACGCTCAGTATATTTAATACTAAATACTGGTCAATTATCTAGATTATATTTGTTCATTACTGATGACATGAGCATATCGTAATTAAATATTGTAAACAATGAATTTATGTTTACAATCTTTTGGCGTCGAAACATTTGTTTCCTTTCATTACCAAAAATGACTGAAGCAAGTATATTATACTTAAAAAAATGGCTGTCTTACATGACGATTTTCCCATCATATAATACAGAAACACAAACATTTGAATCAACAAAGAAGAAACTCACAATTTTATTGGCTATATTAATCGGATGGAGTTTTGGCAGACAGATTGCAATTTTGTTTTTTGGTGAACAATCAAGTTTTTTTCTTATGTCTGGCGAATTCATCGTAACATTAATTTTATTCGATGATATATTACTAAACACCAAAGAAAACACAAAGAAATTAAACGTTTTGTTTGGTTATGTAGACAAAATGTATAATACTAACCTTAAAATTACCGAAGAATCAAAACCAACGAGTAAAAAATTGAAATTTGGTATGATTGTGTGGAATTTTGTATTTTTAAGTGTATTAACTTCAATGTGGAGTTTAATGTTGGCAAATGCATCATTTTGGTTTGCCTTACAAAGATTCTTCGAATTAATTTCGTTTTATTTCATGCAAGCTGCAATTGTATGGCGATATATCCTACTTGGGTTGATTAGAAAAAAACTTTTGAGTATTAATCAACAAATTAAACAAGTGGATGTGAAACGTGCTTATTCTGACGACGTACATAACCTCCTAGATGAATTAATCATGCAACATAATTTAATTGTCAACTGTGTGGATGTTTTTAACGATTTATTGGGACGTCAAACTTTATTGGTGAAGATTTATGAATCGTTACAAGTTCTAATCACGCTTGATATGTATTTGGGTGATTATTTTAAGAAGAATTTTAAAGTGAGTGCAGGAGAAAATCTTTTGGCTGTTATAACCACATATGTTATGGTAGGTTATGTTTTAATTTACTTTATTGCTTTGTATTTAATGGAAATAGAATATATTTGAGGTTATGTTGTTACTTTTGTAGGCACAATGTATTTTGACATGCAATATCAGTGAACATATCAACCAGGCTGGAAAACAAACACGAAGTGAGGTGAATAATTTACTACTGGTTTGTAATGACAAGGATTTTGAGCAGAGGAATAAATTAAAGTTTTTATTGAGACAAGCAAAGGATAGATGTCCTGAATTGTCAGCGATGGGTGTTTTTCCGATTAATCATGCGTTGATTTTTACGCTTATTAATATGACTGTGTCGTATGTTATTGTTATTATACAAATGCATCAAAAAGCTTAGAATTGAATTGAATTTATATGTATAAAAAAGAGTGTTAGTTACACCATGTATAACTCAAGAACAGTTGAACAGAATTTGATGATTTATGATTTGTTGGGTTTGTCTTTACACTGAATAGGAGAATAATTATTAAAATATTGAAAATTGTGATTGGAAAGGTGTTAAATAAGGGATGAAAGTTTATATAGAGATCTAATTATGTTTATAGTTGAATAAAGGAATTTGAGAGGGCGTTAAAGGGCATTATTAGCTCTTTTTAATTTTTTGAATAAAATTGCAAATTTTATTGTAAAATTGACATATACAGGGTGTTACACAAAAATAAATAATTATTTGCATTTTTACTAAAAAATCTCCATTTTTCAAATTTTGTATCAAATAAATTACAATTTTCTCTTCTGATAAACATAATTTACTTTTTTCTACTTTATAATTAAATTGTACTTTGATCAATTATACAAATTATGTATGATTAATAGATAATTATCAAACAACAAAACATTATATACACGTGCTGCCATCAAACTACATTAGAAGAATGAATATGAGTACAATAACAAGCATTTCCTGTCTTCGCAAATGGCTGACCCTAATGTTAATATATCCATCTTACAATACAAAACTTCAAAAGTTTGAATCAAGCCAATTGAAATGCACATTATTAATTATACTAGTAGTTTCTTGCGGTATCACAAAACAGGTCGTGATTGTGTTTTTTGAAGAAAAATTGAGTCCGTTTATATATTTCGGACAATTTATTGTTGTCTTAGCAATGGGTGACATTATTTTATTGAATACAAAAGAAAAAACTAAGAAAATGAATAAATTCTTTGGTTATATCAACGAAATCAACAAAAATAGCATTTCTAACCTCACAAAACAAGAATCAACGTTTAACTTTATAAAATGCGTGTGTATTGTATGGAATATTGTGTTTATCAGTACTCTAATTACAATAAGCATTGTGGTATCAATTTCTATGCCATTGGAATTTGCCTCGCAGAGAATAGTAGAAATTTTCCCTTTTTATTTCATGCATGCAGGAATTATTTGGCGGTGTTTAATCTGTGGTTATATGAAAACACAACTTATAAATCTAAATGACACTTTAATACAAATTGATGTATCACGTGGTTGTTCCAATGATGTACATAAACTCCTAGATAAAGTAATAGTTCAACATAATGCAATTGTTAACTGGGTGGATGTTTTTAATGATTTATTCGGTCGACAAATTCTTGTGATGACGCTTTATGAGGCTGGTCATGTGCTTGCTGCGCTTGATATGTATTTGACTGGGTATTTTAAGGATACGATTAATTCCGATAAAGGGGAGATTTCATTGTTTATGATGACCTTATACGTTGTTGTAAGTTATTATTGGTGATGTTATGTTAAATATATTTTAATAAAATAGTTTTATTGCAGTTACAATGTTTTTGCACGTTGAATATTTGTGAACGCTTCAGTGCAAGTGGAATTCAAAGCAGAAACATCGTGAACAACTTAATGTTGAAATGTGATAATAGAGATTATGAATTGGTGGATAAATTGAGGTTATTGGCAAAACAGGCGAGGGATAGATGTCCGCAGTTTTCAGCGATGGGTTGTTTTGTTGTTAATCATGCTTTTATTTATACTTTTGTTAATATTATCGTGGCGTATATTATTGTTATTATACAAATGCGGCATAATTGATAAAAAATGAAGGAAATGACTAAATTATCCCTACTAATATTATAAATGCGAAAGTCCTGATGTTTGTTACACTTTCACGCAAAAACTACTTAACCGATCATCATGAAAATTTGTACACATATTCTTAGTGGTCCCCGAATGGTTATAGGCTTTTATTTAATAAAAAAAATTATTTTCTAAATAAAATAACGAAATTGTTTAGCCAATAATACCTCTGCATCTGGCTATTTGACTACTTTAACGCCATCTAGCATTCCAGCAATGAAGCTCAAACCTAAGTACTATAGTACCATCACACTGTATTATCACTCTGTATTACCGACAGCTACGTCAACATCAAATCCAATTGACTACACTATGGAGACTGTACACTATACTTCCATAGACTATACTTTCAGCCATTTTAAACTACCCGCCATTCTACTTCATTGTTACTTCTTCTGTGACTACAGACGCGTACGGAAGCAAATTCATTATTTTAGATATTCGCGAGCGAAGCCAAGGGTTAAAGCTAGTATAATATAAAGTTATGTTACACTAATTTTAATTTTATACGTTTTATTGTTTGTGTTGAACGTTAATTATTATTGAAAATCACTAAATAATTATCAATATAATACTCTTAATGCCTTTGAGTGTTGTATTAAAATATTATGTTTTTAATAAAAATAAAACTAGGTATAACCAATACAAAGAAAAAAGTTTATTAAAAAGAAGAAGAACTGTTAACATCGTGTGTAGAACATATTTTTCCGTGAAAATATATTGCAGATGGAATAAAATTGGGGTTATAATGTTTTCTTTTGTCAATACAATGTATTTTGACATCTAAGGTTATACTACTTAACTTGACTTAAGATAATGTTATAATCTATGTAAATATAAATTTAAAAACTCCTTTCCTTACAAATTAAACAGAAATTTCTAGTTATATCTCACTTAATTTCCTTCAGTATCATTATAATTAAATTATGCCTTAATCAATTACACTAATTATGTCTGATTATAACCAAACACATAAACATTAATAAAAAAATACTTATACGTGCTGCCATCAAACATATTGATACCCACAGTAACACAATAAAGATGAGTACAATAACAACTCTTTCCTACCTAAAAAAGTGGCTGACTTTAAGTTTAATATACCCATGTTACAATGACAAAACAAAAAAGTTTGAATCAACCCAACTAAAGTTCATTTTACTACTTCTATTTGTAATTTGTTGGAGTGTCGCAAAACTAGTAGGATATACCCTCATCGAAGAAGAAATGAGTCCGTTTTTATTTTTCGGACAATTCATTGTTATTATAGCACTGGCAGATTTTGCTCTGTTGAATATCAATAAAAACACTAAGAAAATAAACAAATTATTTGGTTACATGGATGAAATCACCAATAATAACATTTCTTACCTCACAAAAAAAGAACCAACATGTAACTTCATTAAATTTTTTTGTATTGCCTGGAATGTTGTGTTTATTACTGCTTTAACGTCAATGGGTTTTGCGTTAACAATGTATATGTCATTACAATTCGTCTTTCAAACAACGCTTGAAATTTCAGCTTTTTATTATATGCAAGCTGCGAGTGTTTGGCGAAATTTACTCTGTAGTTACATGAGAACACAACTTTTGAATCTAAATGATAATTTAATACAAATTGATGTATCACGTGGTCATTGTCATGATGTACATAACCTCCTAGATAAATTAATAATAAAACATAATTTAATTGTCAACTGGGTGGATGTTTTTAATGATTTATTCGGTCGTCAAACTCTGTTGATGAAGATTTATGAAACTGGATATATTCTTGCTGCACTCGATATGTATTTGACTGGATATTTTAAAAATATTATTGAATCCAACAGAGGGGAAATTTCATTGTTATTAACTACATTATACGTTGTTGTAAGTTAAGTTACTATTGGTTATTAATATTATGTTAATCTTTGTTTGTTAAAAAATAGTTTTGTTTCAGTTTCAATGTGTTTGGACGTTGAATATTTGTGAACGCGTCAGTGCAAGTGGAAATCAAAGCATAAACATCGTAAATAATTTAATGTTAAAATGTGATGAGAGAGATTATGAGTTGATGTGTAAATTGAGGTTATTGTCGAAACAGACGAGGCATAGATGTCCGCAATTTTCAGCGATGGGTTGTTTTACTGTTAGTCATGCTTTTTTATATACTTATGTTAATATAATCGTGTCCTATATTATAGTTATTATACAAATGCGACATCATACATAAATTGTTAACTGAATTATATAATATTAGATAATTTTTTGCCTGCAATTATGTTAACAATGTTTTTAGTGAAAGTGAAATCTACGTTTACTTTCTATCATTATCCCTACTAATATTATAAATGCGAAAGTCTTGATGTTTGTTACACTTTCACGCAAAAACTACTTAACCGATCATCATGAAAATTTGTACACATATTCTTAGTGGTCACCGAATGGTTATAGGCTACTTTTTATTTAATAAAAAAAATAATTTTTTAATTAAAATAAAGAAATTGTTTAGCCAATAATACCTCTGCATCTGGTTATTTGACTACTTTAACGCCATCTAGTATTCCAGCAATGAAGCTCAAACCTAAGTACTATAGTACCATCACACTGTATTATCACACTGTATTACCGACAGCTACGTCAACATCAAATCCAATTGACTACACTATGGAGACTGTACACTATACTTCCATAGACTATACTTTCAGCCATTTTAAACTTCCCGCCATTCTACTTCATTGTTACTTCTTCTGTGACTACAGACGCGTACGAAAGCAACTTCATTATTTTAAATATTCGCGAGCGAAGCCAAGGGTTAAAGCTAGTTTTACTATAATCTCAATTCCAAATTTTCTTATTTAACACTCTTTTAGTAAAAAAATTTTATATTTTAATATGTATTCTGCTATTCCTGCTAAAGACAAATCGAATAAATCATAAATCATAAAAATCTGTCTAGTCGTTCTTGAGTTATAAATAGTGTAACTAACACAACTGCCTTTTAAATATGTGACGGTAAATGTACGTAGGAAAGGGAATGTGCATTTTTAAGTGTTAACTAAGGGATAAAAATGGTTATGCCCATTCACCGTAACATATAAATTATATTAAGTAAGTATGGTTGACACAGGAATTACGATTAATGCACTATTTAAGTACATTTTATATTACTTACTGTTTGCGTCCAGCATTATCATTACCGCATAAAACTGAATGAGAATCAATATGATACTCTTAATGCCCCTGGGCATTTTACTAAAATATTATATCTGTAATTATAATAAACATAGACATAACGAGTAAAAAGTGAAAAGTATAAAATTTGTGTTCATTCTTCAGAGTCTCACAAAATGTCAACCATGAT